TTGCCCTGGCCGAGCCAATCTCCTGACATGAACCCCATCGAAAACCTTTGGGCCATACTCGACCGGCAAGTCAAGAAACAACCAAAAAACCAACTTCGAAGAGCGATCTACTCCAAGTTTTGAAGCAAGAGTGGGCAAAAATCCCACAATCTAAAATTGACGAGATGATTCTCACGATGCCCAAAGGATCAACGAACTCCACGAAGCGAAAGGAAGATCTACTAGATATTAATTAAATTATAAATATATCACTTCATGTGAATATGACTGAAAAATTTCATTTTTTCTCAAAAGGTGGTGTCTATTCACTTGTGACCACGCTGTGTATGATCCTAATCTATAGGAACCGCTTTACTGTGTGATACATGCTCATGATACAGATTGAAATTATAGTAAAATCCTAAATTATGGGAACTGCTGTAGTGTGTGACACTTACTAATAGTAACACAATCGAAGCTAAAGTACAGTCCTAAGTTATATTCCAAACGACAGATTTTTATCTCAGAATAAGTGAAAATAATGTGTACAAGAGTTTGTTACATAAGTAGTTCAGGATGTACACTTTGAGTTGGTTCGTTGAGACTACAACTCAGTACAAGTTTATTTGTTGAAGGCATCTCGCTACCACACCTCGTTAGAATTAAAACTCCTCAATAGGTGTTGAGATTATCTAGATATTACAACTTGTTAGGGTTGAGACAGAAATAGCCAACATATAAAAGTTGTTTTGGTTTTAATAATGGATTTTCCATAATTCAGCTACGCCTGTTTCGAAAATAATATTTTTTTTCTATCACGTAAGGAGTTTTTACAAATAGGAAAAAAAAAAAAACAATTCTCAATTAGATCAAATTTATAACAAATTTACCACAAATATAACAGAATATGTTTGGGTCATTTACACCACCTCTTGTTGCCATAGCGACGAATAAATATTATAGAAAAGAAAAAAATGTCAAAGTGTATGCACAAACAAATACTATCCAGAAATCACACTTCATGTGGCCTGTTAACCGTTTATATACTAGCGGCGTGTTTCTCGTGGGTTCTAGAACGATCGATAAGACTCTCATGTCGTGATTGGTCTAGAGAAGTCTATAGCCAGTGGTTGTCAACATTTTAAGCATAAAAAATGTGACCCCGATTTCAATGAAAATGTTTCACTTATGTAAAAGTACATATGATATTTTGTGAAAAATCTGTACGTGATGGAGAAAAATGAATATCGTTTTCGGATTCAGCGTAAAACATGTAAAAATTTCAAGATAATAAATCTATCGCAGGCCTGTGTAATTGCAGACGATAAATTGTGTGACTCACGATTACATGCCACGTCAAATTTGAATGATCAGTGCATCACTTAGGGATTTCTCATGACACATTATATTAGTTGTGGAGTCGTAGATTTGATTATAGAAACGGCATTTTCTACTTCAGTATAAATTACATATGTAAAGGTAATCTTCCTCTATTTCAGTTAACTTCCTCGAATTCTGATCACTAAACAGTTTCTTTACATGTATTGTTACAGATAGCTTCCAACTAAATTATAGACACTTTTTCTCCAACCAATTATTACAACATTTTATCAAAGCAGGGGCTTATATTACTTCAAAGTAACACATTAACTTTAAAATGTTTGTAGAATGTTTAAAACATGCTAATTTGAGTTAAAATAAATTACATGTATATTAACTTTTATAATCCACTTAATAAAGAACATTAATTTAGATTTTTTAAAAATTAATAATCATCGACTTGAAGCTTGTTTTTTTATAAAATGGTTATTGTTTTCAAATTTATGTTTTAAATAAATTTAACATTAATCATCTTCAGATTTGACTAAGAAGATGTAAGTTTTGAAAAATGACGAATGTTGGCATTTATTTGCGATAAGAAATAACTACTTTAAGTATAATATTTCTTTTATGTGAAGTACCTACATCAGTACCCGAAAAGTAGTTAGTTGAAGCATTGTCTATATATAATAGTTTCCAAACCTCCAACACCAGATCTCCAGATTCTTTAGCTTCCAGTTCTCCGTTTGTTGTCTGTAGACGTGCAATGATCAGTTCTTGTTGAAGTTGCAACTGCTGATCCAATTCTGCTATATCTGTCTCCGACCTCTGGTGGCTAACGTTTTCTCCTGATGGCTCAGGTTCATTGTCCTCCAATACTTTTGTATCATTAATCTGTTCATTTAGATCTGTTATTTGTTCTTGAAGCAACTCAACCTAAATATAATAATAAAATATGCAAATAACGAACCAGGATTAAAGGAAAGTTAAAAGTTTAGTACCTTTAGAAAATATATTCTCCAAAAAGTAATGTTTTTTTGTGTGTGTTTGTGTGAAACATTACTTACTAAATATAACTATTAATTTTCTAGTACTAAAAACTTCATCCAAAAGGACGGATTTATTACTATATGTCTATAGATAAGCGGCATTATTACGCAAGCTAAAAGCTTATCAATAATCACCGGTAGTAACCAAGAAAAACGCATTTAATGTTGCATAAATAATATAATAGTAATAAAAACACTCGCCAGGTTCCTGTAGCATTTTTTTATGTGTCCTGTCAGAGATTTATAAATTAGTTGATCGACATTGATTTAAACATCATTTTGACCAAACACGAGCAATACTATTTTTGAGAGGCCTCACTATTTGTTAGAAAATGATGGATCTTGAAATCACAAATGCTTATTTTTACACTTCTCCTTGATGCCTTTCTGTATTATTCTATATTATTTGAATTTAATGTCAACTCTTTTATGATAGTTTCATATACAATAACGTATTGCTTGTTTGCTTTTCTTGTCACTTAGCCTAAATAAATGATGCTGACAGGAGACACTTTGATTGTTTGTTGAATTTCGCGAAAAGCTACTCGGGGACTATATGCGCTAGCTATCCCTAATATATAAGTGCTAGACTTGATAGAAGACATTTAGTCAACACCATTCACCACCAAACCTTTACAAACGAACATTATATCCCATTATAACGCCCCTACGGCTGAAAGGACGAGTTCAGTGACGGGATTCGAACCTGTAACTTGCCAATTGCAAGTCAATTGCACTACCACTGGGCCATGCCAGGCCTGGACAGAAGATGCAAAAAAATTAAATGAATTTATAATGTTAAATGCTGAAGAAGCATTGAGATCCTGAACATGTTTACTACGAAACGCAAAATAGCTATAGTTTATATGAAACTAGGGTATAGCCCGTCAAAAATGACGTGGAAAATACTATCACCCCACCTGACATTTGAAAGCTAACTGAAATAAATAAATTTTGCGAAATCAAGCTTGACCAACAAAGAGGCAGAAAAGTGCATTCAAGGCAGTCAATCGTCGATAAATTCCTTTGTGAGCCAATCAAAATTAAGATCATTCATGAAATGAATTCGTGGCGTATCTATAATAATAAAAGGGCGTGTCTGTGTGTGTGTGTGACTGCCATAGCTCCAAGAGGAAAGAACCCAGAAACCTGAAATTTTGCCCCATACTAAGTGGATCCTAAAGGTATGCACCTGGGTATTATTACTTATCTTATCCACATGGGTGCGCACCCCATAGCATACTCTATAGTATATCAGTCAGGTTAACAACTTCTAATATATAGAAAAGCCAGTGCATTTTGGTAACAATGCGTTCCAACTATGACTTTTATGCCATATTGCTTAGCAATAAAAGTATAACCCAATATTGTTGTTAGTCTATGTACTGAAAGTTTTAAATTAAAGGTATAAGCAACAAAACTAGAATGATATTTGTTGATTTCTTAATTTAAAGTTTCCGTTGATTAAAGATATTTGTTGTTTTTTATGAAAAACGTTGGTGATATAACAGAAAATAACTTAAACGTAAAATTGGATCGATATTCTTCCTTTCATGATAAATTTTATGCACTTGGTTCTAGGCTAGGTGATCCCACACTATATTTTTACTTTTAGGCTTATTATACCAACACTCATTACCCAGCCCCCTTGCACCCCCCATCACTAAAACTATGATGGGCAGACAGTAATCGAACTGTTCTATCTGTATAAATGCATCTTGGCTTTTATGACTCCTCCTATTTTGACAAATCACGTGTGACGTGACACGACACACACTGGCTATTATATAGGTTAGATATGTTTTTCTATTTCTGGTATATAGGATAAAAAATCATAACACAATTTCTGTGCACAATGTGCATGTATTTTTAATATAGAAAGTTAGTAAGGTAGCTACTAAGTCCATCTCCCTCTAGTTAGTTACTCAAGAAACTAGATCAGTCAAGTAGGGTGTCACGTGTGTTTTCTCGTGGGAAAGATTCCTGCAAAACTAGAGGATACTGTATAGAAATAGACAGTGATATTTTCCACTGAAAAACAAGGTGATGCATCAAGGATACAACATTCCTTGTTTTGAAGTGGGTAGCACTTTGAGAAAAATGGTATTGTTGTTAACTGTGACATAAAGGCTCATAGAATGGCTCTGAGTTTTTTGTTTTTTTTCAAGTACAAAGTTTTAGCTCATAGTTCCATCTCTTGACTGATTTGAGATTTGATTACAGCTGAAGCTATTGAAGATTCCCTCTTTTTTTAGTATGTAATGCCATGCATTATCAGTCAGGAAGGTGACTTTTTATAGAGAGATATGAATAGATATTTTTACAGATAGATTTGACAATATTTGGATTCTCCAGTAAAGAGTCCGAAACAATACATTTGTTGTTGTCTTTTGCCTTTGATTGTTGATAAATGTTTACGACAAAAATTATTTCACTATGTTTAACTTATGTTCAGTCTCTTTCTTTTCCCCAAACTTCATCGAGGTCGCAGAATTCAGATTTCTGTTCTGCATTAATTTTGTAGCGAACTTTCCGTTATTTTGTGGTTCCTACCTATCTACTCGACGGAAAGTCAATGAAACTGAGAGTACCTCGATAACACGAGATTCACACATGTGCTAAACACATGGAGCAGACAAAGTCATCACTTGGAATAATTTTGACTTTTGTTACACCCTGTAGTTTCTGATAAACTAATATTCTCGGGTTTGTAATCATTTCCGCAAGAGTGCATGAGCGTTTTTCATATTATTTCAAGAATTAAGATGTATATCAAGAGCAGTACCATCTCAAAAATTGCCATTCGGTAGTGACTTCTTCTAGAATATGTTGAAGTTTGTGGGGAAACTAAAATTTATGGAAATGAGTTATAATCGTGCCTACCCCTATAGTAGCATACTTGAGAAATCCTGGGAAGTGACATATCGTGCTGTGAAACCGCCAACTATATGATGGAGAGGTTTCAAAGACTAAATGTCAGTCTTGTAGCTTTACGTTGTTTGTTTGTAATTAAGCACAAAGCTACACAATGGGCTATCTGTGCTCTGCCCACCACGGGTATCGAAACCCGGATTATAGCGTTGTAACTCCGCAGACATACCGCTGTGCCACTGCGGGGCTGTAGCTTTACGTAAGCCGAGCGGGTATTTTATTTATTTAAATAAAAACACCCACATTTACTGGAATATCTGCAAGCTGTCTCAGAAGACTAACATTCCCAATTGGTAATTTTTTTTCTGACGAGCCACCTTATCTAGTGTTCTATACTTTTTACCTTACCTTACACGCATTGTTACATCACTGAAAAATTTGAATACCACTTGCTAATTTTACGTATAGACGTTAGGATAACAATGAACCTGATGGTAGAGAAGTGAACAGGTGTAGGTCTGTTTTGACTCAACTCTTTAAAGAGCTTGACGATCATTCAAGACCTACTAAAAAAAATGATTTGTTTTCATCCCAGCCCACCTCTAGTTTGGTGTTCGTGCCTCGTTTTTTAGCCGCGGCATAGCGGCTCATATAACGGCTTTGAGACTTTTTTTTCAATTACAAACTTTTAGATCATAGTCCCGTCATCTCTTGACCGATTTGAGATCTAATTGCAGTTTTGAACTCAGGAGGTCAAATCATTTCGATTGATTTATTTGACTATGCCCAAGGTCTCATAGATTGATTTACTCTAATCCTACCTAAAAGAATTTCAATTTGAGGGTAGGCTGGTAGAAATTCTGATGAGTAATAAAATCGAATCGGGTATACGCGTGCCTCACGCTTAGTATTGCTGGCGCAAAAAAAAATGTAGCTAAAAAAGGGGGGGAGGCCTCATAGATTAATTTACTCTAATCCTGCCTAAAATAATTCCAATTGCCACGGCTATTGCGGATTCCCTTTTGTTTAAATTTTATGATCAGCGACCAGAGTTTATTGTTTGGTATTCATCTTGCTATGTAATCCCTTATATTTTAACTTTTCATCCATATTGGCAGCAATCACCTGATAATTTAATAAACTCGGGATTTTTTTTTCATCGGAACATTCATTCACAAATAAGGCTGATCGTCCTAACTAATTTGTCCCATCTTATTGCTATACCGTTTCAAGTTGGATTTGGTAACTATTGACTTCCATTTAACCTTGTACAATCGTTGGTCAAGTGAAGTGATAAAACTATCACAGACGACTGATCAGAAATTCTACAATTTGTAATTGTCAAGTACCTCTTTCTATTAACTCAATCTCTCTAACTGAGAAAATAGCATCCTTCCAACGTTTAGCCTATAATTAAAGCTTAAATATCTTTGACACCTTGTGAAAGTTGAGTTGTTAAATTTATTCATAGTGATCATGTAGTAGATAGACTATTTCATTATGAAACAAAACTTTTAAGGTGGCATCGTGTTCTTGTGTTTACGAATGATCAAATAGTTTGAAGAGTAAAGCTGAAATAAGGTTATTTACATATCATCTGCCTCAACAATTAGATGTTCACCAGAAATGGTTGGAAAAGATCAAACGAGCAAATTCCCTAACTGGCCAGAGATGGGACCCTTCAGGTCATTGTCATATCGGTACTAGGATAATTGAAGCGTTTGTTATATGGTAACATCAAATATGGTCAAGAAGAAATGATTAACTAAAGACTTTAACTAAATGGGTTGTGATTTCTTAATATTTAAGTTAGCGAAAAATTCGCCTCTTCAAACCGTCTGATCACCTTTTACAGATAACTATAGTTTACTAAGATTCCATGATTAAATACTGGAAGATTTTCAATTGTGGTGTTTCAGAATTAAACTTCATATTCACCTTAACGTAACACTCACTCGATGGCCTACAGTATGGATAGGGCTTCTGTGTTTCGGTGTTAATTTTTTAACTGTATTA